CTGACTCTGGGGAGGGAGGGAGAGATTTTACTGCAAGAATCCTAAACAAATCCTCATGTGGAGTTTAATTTAACCAGCTCAGAAATAACCCCAAGCTTATTATAGATAAATGTACCTCAGTTTGAGGCCTTCCTTTAAATCTGTGGGTTGAGTGCAGCTAATTCCAGAACTCCTGTGTTATTCAGGGAGTTTGGTACCTGTCCACTCTTGTCTGTGTTTTGTTTGCTTTGTGACAGCATAGGACAGAGATCTGTAGCTCAAAACTGCTTGTCAGCACCTTTGGGAGGCTCCCACCTTGTGCTGAACTCGCCTGTGTCAGCCTGTTCCCCTGCCAGCTCCTGTTCCATCCCTGCAGCTCTCCATCCCTGCAGCTCTCCATCCCTGCAGCTCTCCATCCCTGCAGCTCTCCATCCCTGCAGCTCTCCATCCCTGCAGCTCTCCATCCCTGCAGCTCCATCCCTGCAGCTCCATCCCTGCAGCTCCTGAGCACAGCTCCAGCTCAGCCATGCTGCTGCAGAGCACTCAGCAGTGCACATTGTTTTCCGCAGTGGTGCAGTATCCAAAAAGGTCCTTTGCAAGCTTCTAGGACTGCACCAGGCTGCTGAGGCATGGAAAGCTCTGGTGCTGCTGGCTGCACACCCTGGCATGCAGCAGCTTCAAAGAGCCTGCTTGGATTAATAGGAATTCTCTGTTCTCACTAATGAACTGGATTTCAGAGACAGATTATTCCTGAATGACGTTCTCTGCACCCCAGCTCGTCCGTGCCGTGCCCAAAGTCAGCCTTTGATCCTGATGCAGCTTTTTTTTCCCTAGCTAATACTACCTGTTTTATCTGGCACTGTGCTGGAAAAAAATGACATCATTTGGGGAGTGCTGCAGGGCTCCAGCCTGTGGGATTTACTCCCAGTCCCTGCTCTGCACCGACACTGCAGAGCAGCCCTTGGCAGGGGTCACCTTTGGGGGGTTCATGTTCAGGGGCCACCTTTGGGGTTCAGTGTTCAGGGGTCACCTTTGGGGTTCAGTGTTCAGGGGTCACCTTTGGTGTTCAGTCTTGTTTAACTCTTGTGCCTAATCCGGTTATCTGGAGGAATTAAACATGTCCTTCTTAGCGTTTTTCACTGGACTTGGAGAAGCTTGGATTTAGGGAAGTTTATTTTGCTGGAGGCAAATGCTGGGCCTTGGCATGGTGGAAACAGGCTGAGGGAGGAAGCTCTTGGCTCCTCTGCCAGGACAGCCTTGTGCAGATGGGCTCACCTTGGAGCATTTGAGGGGGATCTCTCCTGAAACAGATCCTCCAAGGGCTGTGAGGGATTAGAGGAGCAGAGCTCACTGCAGCAGCTTCTCCCCACACTTACAGCTGAGTCCTGTGACCAGCAGAGTGGGAACAGCATCCTGCTCCTCCAGCCCAATGCCAGGCAATCCCAGGCACAAACCAGTTGCCATGTCCCTGGTCAGTGGGGCCACCAGGAGGTGAGGCTCTGTGAGCAGTCACACTGACTTGCTCTGCCTATTTCCCTGCATTAGGGTATTTTTTTCCTTTCAGGCACCAGATTTGGTGTTTCTAGAAACACACACAAGGCCTGAGAGAGGCCCAGATTGACTGCCCTGCAGCAGGCTGTTCTGTGGTGGTAACTGCTGCTTCCCTTCCCTGACAGAGAACCTGGAGTACAACTCTGAGCCTCGGGAGATCCCTCACCCCGACATCGGCCGCTATTTCTCCGAGTTCACCGGCGTTCACTACCTGGCAAACACCGAGCTGGAGATCCGCTACCCAGAGGATTTGGAGCTCACCCGAGCCACGGTGCAGAAGATTTACAGCTCAGGCAAGGAGTGAGTGCCAGAGGCAGCCTGGGGACAGAAGCAGCTGGAGTGTAGCTTTACCCTCTCTGCAGAACTTGCGTGGGAAGCAAGTTTGGTGACAATCCTTTGGCTTAATGCATTGAAAACTGCACTGAACTTGGAAACTGGTGCTACAGCATCTTCCCATTGTCTGCCTGCCCGTCCTGGCCCAAAGGCACACGGACACTTTGGTACTTGAGGCCCAGCAGGAGGATCTTGCAGGGACAGCTGTGCCAGGAGCATTGTCCTTGGGAAGGATCTGCACATTCTGCTCCTTCTGTTAGGAGGTCAACACAGCAAGATCCTGGTGTGGAATATGGAGGAATCCCCTCTTCCAGAGAAGGAAGTGGCTTGTCTTGGCAGTATTTTTGTTTGGCTGTGCGTGTCTGGTTTGGTTTGAGTGTATCCCATGCAGGCAAAAGTTTTTTAAGTCTCTCACGTTTTGCTGTTGTCTGAATTTTTGGGTCAGGTATTGCTTCATCTCTGTAGTCTGATTGTTCCTAGAGCTACTGTTCCAATCCTGAATATCCTTCTGGGCCTGGCAATATCTTTAAGGGCCTGGGAAAGAGCTCCAGCCACAAAACCAGCAGCAGTGAGGCTCGTGGGGTGGTGAGCAGTGCTGACATCAGGGCCAGGTGGCCACCTCGCCGTCGGCAGAGACTCCGAAAGCAGAGGAGGAGCTCCTGGCCCTTTCCCATGCCTGCTGAACACACCCAGCCCATGTCCTGACCTTGTTCTTCGGTCTGTCCATTGTGTGTGTCCAAGGTGGGATCCGTGGCACAGCCATGAGTGTTCCCAGGAGGAGTTGGAGCCTCGTGGGGATGTTTGGTGGGACCTTGAGTGACTTCGATGGATGTGGAGCTGCCGCTCGCTGCCATCTCCAATTTTTTTTCCAATAGGTATTTATGCAATACAGTGGAGTGATGACTGGAACCTGGCCATCCCTGGAGTCAGCCAAACCATTATGGAAGCAAGATGTTAATTCCTGCAGCTTGAGGCCTTCTTCCTTCTTGCCAAAAGAAAACTGATTCTAGGGGGGCGTAGACTTGGCTGCCTACAAGGGAAGAGCTTTAGCAGCTCAAGGCACATGACTTTTAACCTTGACTTAAAGGCCCAGACAGAAGCGCTGCAGAAGAGGTTTTCCTCTGGGCTCAGGGGCTGTGGGGTGCAGAGTGACACAGTGTTTGTGCATATCTTTGTGGTTTCTGAAGCAATGTGTGTAGAGTAGCTGCAGCTCGTGTCTCCTGTCACTGTCCACTTGCAACACAGTAATTCTCTCTGAGCTGACAATTAGGGCCCTGTAGAGGTAGGTGGATGCTCTTTAGTCTCTCACGCACTACAGGTATCTCCACATGGAATCACAGCCCTCCTCTCCAGCAATGCCTGCCCTGCATGTCACCTCCTGCAACCCTGAGCACTGGTTTGCTGTGGAAATAAATGCTGAGAGCCCAGCACTTTGGTGGTGGTGGTCTGCAGGGATCTGGGGCTCCAGGAGGAGCAGCCTGTGGGGAGAGAGTGAGGAATGCTGAGGGGGCTCTGCTCCAAGCACTCTGTCTTTAAAGAGCCAGAATCCCAGAATGGTTTGGGCTGGAAAGGACCTTAAAGCTCCTCTTGTTCCATGGGCAGGGACACCTTCACTATCCCAGCTCTGTCCTGACAGGAACCTGGAGGGAGGAGGAGTTCCCATGCTGAAGCAGGGTAGGGAATCCTCAGGCAAAGAATCTGAAATTCCATCTCTTGTTCTTGAGGGCTGGAGTAGACCCCAAAGCTCCAACCCATTGTGAAAGCAGATCCCAGAAGATTCCTGGCAGGGATGCGAGGTTGGGAATGGGGGTGGTGTGTCCCAAGGTGGCTGAGAAGGAGCAGAGCAGGGCTTGGGCTCTCCATTCCCGGCTGCCAGCAAGGTTCTGGAGTTTTGTGCTCCCTTCTGTTGCCACCTGGGCCTCCCTCCAGTGCACCCAGGGAATTCCAGAGCTCACAGGAGCCCTCAGCACGAGGAGCTGCCTGAGCTGCAGCCGAGCCACAGGAGCCAGCAGAAAGCACCCAGAGTTTCCCTGAGAACTGGCCAGTGCTTGCCAACCCACCTGGAGAGCTGCTGGGGGTTCAGGGTCCAGAGCAGCCAGCAGGGCCCTTTCTGTCCCTCCTGGGGCCACGCTGTGCTCGTAGCCTGAGAGGAGCCTGGCCCAGGAGGAAGTGTGGGAGCACAGAGTGCTGTGGCCTGGGATGCAGAAGGGTTGGGTACTTGGGGCAGCCCTGGAACTAAATCCTCATCCTTCTGGCAGGAGTTTTTGGAGGAACTGTGACCTCAGGCAGCTCTGCCTGCTCTGGTGCTGCCCATATCCACACCTGGGCTGTGGGTGTTGGGTCACCCAGAGCACCAACACAGCCATGGAGGTGCCAAATTTGGAAAGACTGGGCTGCTTCAGTGTGTTTTCCACACAGCCTCAGCCCAGGGGCCAAGTGAGATTTTGGGGTTTGACACAAACCCAAAGGGAATAGTGAGTTCCCTTGGTCTCCCATGAGGGACAGGTGTCCCCACTGCCTCCAGTGCTACTTGCCCTGGTGGAGTCTTTGGTCTTGGGGAGGAGAAACTCCCCTGTGAGCACCTGCTGCTGTGGGAGGCCTCAGCCCAGCATCCAGGGTGGCCAGGAGAGCTGGAAACCCCCAGGATACATCCAGGGGAGCCAGGAGAGATGGAAACCCCCAGGATACATCCAGGGTGACCAGGGAAAGCTGGAAACCCCCAGGACAGCTCTGTGTCCGTGCTGGAACAGCCTCTTGGAATGCACCTGGCTTCCCACAGGCTGCACATCCACAGTCCAGCACTGTGGGAACACCTCTGTGGGATGGTGGGGTGACATTTGGGGTTTGCCTGTGCCCCTCCCCTTCTAGCACTGTCACCTTTTCCCCAAGGGGACATCAGTGGATCCCAAAAGCTCCTTGTGTCTGTGGTGATGTCTGGGTCCGTGGTGTCCGTGTTAAAGGTGGTGCTGACGCTGTCCATGGGGATTTGTCCTGTCCTGTCTGTGTGGAGCTCTCCCTGTGTGGCTTTCTGGAGAAGGTGGAATTGCCTCCCCTCTCTCCCACCAGGTGCAAAGCCAGACCAGGTCTCTCCTGTGCAGTGCCACAGTCCTTGGGAGCAGGGGGTGAATTCCCTGCAGTTAATGCCCTGCTCTCCCTTCCCTTGCCATGTCACAGCCACCCATCCTGGGGACAGAACAGCCCCGGTGCTGGCATGTGAAAATCCCGGGGGTGAAGGAAAAAATCCAGAATGGGGGAAGAGGAGGCTGGGAAGGGGCAGGAAGTGAGGAGTGCTCACTGTCTGGGTGGTGAGGAAAAGCCAGGGCTGGTTCCAGGCTTTGCCACTGGGTGCTGGCACTCAGGGGAGTTCCGGGCAGTGCCATTCCCGGGCAGTGCCATTCCTGGGCAGTGCCATTCCCAGGCACTGTCCTGGGGGCAGCAGCATCCCCGGGAGGTTTCTCCACCCTTGGAGGCTGAGGTCTGGGTGTGCTGCTGCTCCGGGCCAGGCTGAGGAGCTGCTGGTGCCCTCCTGCAGCCAAGGGGCAGGAAGGGACAGCTCCTGGATCCTTGGGGAAGCTCTTCCAACCCCTTTGGAGCCATCCTGACACGGAGGGACACAGGGCAGCCTGACACAGCCGAGGGCAGGCAGTGAGACCTCTGACAAACCATGGTAGCTTGTCTCCAATCTTTGCAGGAAAACTGAGCCCCAGGAGCATCCAGACCAGCCAGCCCTGCCTGGGGCCAGGGAGAGCTGTGACCTCTGGGGCAGGAGGATGAGAGGAGGAAAGGGCTGCTCTGGGCTGGAGAAGGGTCCCTGGGATCTCCTGGTCCCTTCCAGGCCACCTCCACCTGCACACCAGCTGGCTCCAGGTACTGTCCTGAGCCACTCTGGGCATCTCCAGGGATATCCCAGCTCTGAGGGCCCTGCCTGCCTCCCTGCTGGCTCTTCCCCCGTGGGGGACACGGGGACTGTTGGCAGGGACAGAGTGCTTTGTGTATTTCCCACCTCCTGCCCTCCGCCTCCTCGGCTGGGCAAAATTCCACATTGGATGGAAAGCTGCTGGCCCAGGAATGGAGGGTGAGGAGCCCTGAGCCCCAGGGCCCCTGACACTGACATCTGAGGTTGCAAGATGGGGACATCTCTCCTTTCTCCGTTTTTATTTATAAACAGGTATTTTCCTGGACAGCTGGAGGCTGGAAATGATTTCATTCCTTTCCTGTTTATATTTGGCTTTAAACAAATAAACAACACTGACTTGCTACCTACTGCCGGTGTGCTGTGCTCTTTGAGCTGCTCCCACACCTCTGCCTGCACTCCTGGAAGGGCTCTGCTCTTCCCTGTGCCCGTGGGAGGGTGACGTGTCCCTGCCAGTGCCAGTCTGGCACCCGCGAGATGGGGACAGAACCCCCCGCCCTGCCAAAGCTGCCTCCTGGGGAAAGCTGCCTCCGTTATGGGGTCCCGGGTCTCTGGGCGTCCCCCTTTGTCCCTGCCCGCCCGGGGGGCACAGCCCGGGCGGTGCCAAGCTGGGGCAGCCGAGGGTTCGGGAGGAGCTGCCGCGGGGAGACCCCGGCCGCGTTCCCGCCCCGGGATACCCGGGACAGCTCCGTGCCCTTCTCGGGGGCCGCTCCAGAGCCTCCAGCGGGGCACAGCCGGGGGCTCCCGGTGCCTGCAGCCGCTGCCGGGGCTGTCCCCGCTCCCCGAGGGTCCCACCCCCGCGGGCCCTGCGCTGCCTCTGGGCGGGGGCGCGCAGGGACCCGGGGCCGCCGCGCCGCCGCCGCCTCCCCGCCGCGCCCGCCCTTAAAAGCGGCGGCGGCTCCGGTGCAGCGCCCGCGGCGGCGCTCCCGGCACGGCCCGGGATGGGCTCCGCGCACTCCGTGCCCGCCGAGATGCGGGAGCTGGCGGACAGGACGGGCTGTGAGTACCGGGGACCCGCGGGCACCGCGGCCGCGCTGCCGCCGCCCCAGCTCGTCCCACCCTCCCCCGGAGCCCCCGGCCCCGCCGCCGGAGGGGACACCGGGGGTCCGGCCCCGCAGGGGACGCATCACCCGCGGGGGTGCGGGACGTGTCACCGGGGAGGGGGGGCTGTGCGGGACATGTCACCCGCGGGAGGGGAGGTGCAGGAGGTGCCAGCCGGGAAGGGAGGGGGGACGCACAGGGAATGTCACCTGGGTGGCCGCGGGGCTGCGGGAGGTGACGCTCGGGCGGGGCAGGGGATGCAGGACATGTGGTGTGACCCGCGGGGAGGATGAGGGAATGTCACTCGGGAGGGTGCAGAGGTGTCACCTGGGCTGGGGAGAGCAGGATGTGACACCGGGGGATGGAGCGGGGGAGGGGACAGGGGATAAGAGAGGAGGGGGTAGGACTGTCACCAGAGGGTGGCAGCATGTCACCCGGGGTGTGCAGCCGTGTCCCCGCTGCCACCACGCCACGAGCCAGGGCGTCGAGCGGCCACACGTGCGAGCCCCAGGCGGGCTCTGCCCACCCGCGCCACCGAGCAGGACGCTGTCCCCGCAGGGCTGCTCTGCCCCGGAGCCACCGGGCCGCGACACCCCCGGGGCTGCTTTGGGATCGAGGGACCAGCAGGGAAAGGGGCAGGGACACGGCCCAGGGCTCCCTGCAGGGAGGGACGGGGTGGCCGTATCCGTCCTGGGAAGTGTCACCGTTCCCGGACACGGCAGCTCCGGGCACGGGGACCGGGAGCTCCCGCCTGGATCCTCCAGCTGCGGCCGCGCTGAGCGCTGCGGTGGAGGGAGGGCTGGGGGGCGGCTGTGCCCACGGCCAAAGGGTCTGTGGGGGCCGAGAGGGTCCGGTGACTGTCCCCAGTGCTGCTGCTGCTCCTGGGGTCACATCTCCCTTCTTCTCCCTTCATCCCCTCTTCCTCTCCTCTCCTCCCCCAGGGAGGGCTGAGCCCCCCGCACCCCACTGAGTCCCCCAGGCAGACTCAGGAGCTTGGGGAGCCCGCGGGGTGCCAGCCTAGCAGCCCAGGGTGGGAGGAGGATTTCGGGGAGCCCTCTGGCCCGGGGTCCCTGCAGCAGCATCTCGGGCACAGGTGGCACCTGCTCGTGGGAGGCTCCTCCCCGGTGCCCCGTGGATCAACCCCAGGGCAGGGTTTGCGAGGGCAACACCCAAAAATCTCGTGGAAACCAGAGGAGGGAGGGCAGGGGGAGCCCATAACTCCCAGCATGTCCGGGGTGCCCATCCTGTGCTGGTATTCACAGAGCTCCCCTGTGCTGTGGCTGCTGCCAGAATCCCGGGGATTCAGGGGATTTACAGCCTTGCTGCTGGAACCGGCCTCGCCAGGGCACTGCAGCCACCCTCGGTGCCGTGGGAGGGGCAGGGACCGGGCAGAGCCTCCTGGAGGTGCCCACGGCTCGTTCCTTTGCCTTTCCCCCATGGAGGGACCCCCTGCTCGGGGCCACTTCCCCTCCCTCCCTGCTTGTGCTCCATCCCAAGCTGCTGCAGTGTCTGTCCAGGGTGAGGTGGCTGTTCCCGGGATGCTGTGACCATCCCTGCAGCCAGGCTGCTCCCACGGGAGGCCTGAGCCCCCCAGTGCCCCTGAGCCCCCCCCCAGTGCCCCTGAGCCCCCCCAGTGCCCCTTTCCCTTCGCTCAAGCAGCACAACCATGCAAGGCTGGGAGCAGCAAGCCCGGCTGCCTGTGGTTTAAATCCCATTTTCCCCCCACTGGCAGAGGCTGCCGTGCTTGGACACAGGCCTGCAGCATCAGGATGCTTCTCAGAGACACGAGCAGCCTCTGCTGCCCTTGAGCCAGCCCTTCCTCCAGCAAAGCTTTTGCCTTTTCTGCAGATTTTCCCTTTTTTCTCTGGAAAGCAGCTGAGCTCTGCCACCTTTACAGGCAGAGCGATGCTGGGAGAGCTGCCCCGAGAGGAGCACCTGGGATGGGGAAAGAGGCAGGAAAAGCCTCATCCAGCCTTTCAGGGCCAGCCCAACCATGAGCACCCAGCCACTGACCCCAGCTCTTTGTCCTCTTGGTGCCTCGGACGTTTTTCTGAGAGATCAAAGCTTTTTGGTGTGCACCCAAGCCCCAGATGCTGAGGCTTGGTGGCCCAGCTGCTCCCATGGTGACGGCGGTGGCGTCACGCAGAGGGTGAAAGGTCACTGCTGCAGGGCCAAAATTGGAAAGGAAAGTCCAGGGAAAGTTTCCATGGGACAGCAGCAGAGCAGCAGCCAGGAGGGACTGGGGGAGGAAACGTCCAGTGGATGGATCAGGGGGGCCTGGGCACCATCACCTGGGAGCCAGCGGGGCCGAGGGGGGTAAGGGGTTTGAAGGGCATCCTGGGGACACCCGGGCAGGCTCAGGGCTCCTGCTCCCTCCAGCCCAGAAGGGCTCCCAGGCTGTTAACAGAGGCTCTGGAGGCCCAGCCCCGCTGATCAATGCAGCTGCTATTTCCAGGCTGTGGAGCAGCACTGGGGAAAGCAAAGGACATTATTTAAACATCATAAAAGGCAGCGAGGGAGGCAGCTCAGCCCAGCTCTGACCCTGCTGCCTTGCTGCAATTAACCCTTTGCAACCCTTAATGTGGTTTTCCATCTCTCCATGGTGCCAGGAGTGGCTGATTCCCAGCTGGGGCAGCCCTGCCCCGTGCCCGGCCCCAGCCGGGGCTGCAGGAGCCTGTGGGCACAGCTGGAGCCCAGACAGACCCCCCAGATCCCAGAGACACAGCTCCAAAGCACTTCCCTGGCTCCTGGGAACGGCCCCTGACAATATTTGCACAAGAGTCAGGCTCTGGGGGTTAGAGCTTGGTTACAGCCCCAGGAGAACAGCAGGGGAAGATGAAGTCACCTGTGCTGGGGGATCAGGGCACTGGGGAGGTGCAGCTGGGCCCCAGCACTCAGGGCACTCAAAGGAGCTGCTGGTCCCCCCTTGCAGCCCTGCCTGGGATGGGGTTGGTGCATCCCTGGGGCAGTGCCCACCCCGTGGCTTGTGGCTCACCCTGGGCAGTGGCAGCAATTTAAAGGCAGGTGTTGATTTTGGGGGCTGCTGTGCCCCCTCTGTGTCCTTTCCTCTCCCTTGGCTGCTGTCAGGATTTCTGATCCCAGAGTTATTTCCTGCAGCAGCCATGGCTGTGGACATGGAGGAGCCTCCTGGCTCCAGGCAGAGCTGTCCTGGGGCACAGAGGAGCTGCCTGGGCACAGCTCTGCCCACGGTGCCAGTGACCCCAAAAGAAATGCCAAGCCTGTTCCAGTGGGCTGGCACCAAGGATCCTGAGCTGGGGGTGGGATCCCACTGTGCCGGGCCAGGGAATTCCCTGCAGGGAATAACGCAGCCCTTGGCACCGTCCCTGCAGCCGGCAGCGGTCACAGGGACACGGAGGGACCGTGCAGGGCGGCAGGAGCCACCACCGGGAGAGGGTGACATGGCTGTGCCCAGGACCCTGCCCCGCTGCTGGGGCGTGGGGACGGGCACAGGGGGGTGTCCCAGGGGTCCCCCGGGGCTCAGCCCCTGCCACCTCTCTCCTTTCCCTGCAGTCACCTCTGAGCAGATCGAGCACCTGCACCGGCGCTTCAAGCAGCTGAGCCAGGACCAGCTGACGATCCGGTACGGAGCCGGCCCGGGACAATGCCGGCCCGGGACAATGCCGGCCCGGGACAGTGCCAGCCCGGGACAGTGCCGGCCCGGGACAGTGCCGGCCCGGGACAGTGCCGGCCCCAATTCAATCCCGGCCCAAATTCAATCCCAGCCCAAATTCAATCCCAGCCCCCACTTCAATCCCAGCCCCATGACAATCCCAGCCCCATGACAATCCCAGATCCAGGGCAATTCCAGCCCAAGTACAATTCCAGTTCCACTGCAATCCCGGCCCGGTTACAATCCCAGCCCTGCTGCAATTCCAGCCCCACGCAATTCCAGCCTCAGGGTAATTCCAGCCCCTCTGTAATTCCAGCCTCACATCCAGGCCACCCCCAGCATCTCCCCCCTTCCCTGGGCTGCCCAAGGTGCCACTCCAGGGCTGGGATTCTGAGTGTCCCTCCCTGAGCCATCCCTGAGCCAGCTCCTGCAGCGTGGCCTTGCAAATATTCCGAGGAAAAACACACAGTGACACAGTGGCCTGGGAGCAGGAGCACTCCTGACAAACATCTCATCCTCCCCAGCTTTAAAATCCGTTCTGGGGAGGGAAGGGGGGTTGTAGGTGCTCCTGCCCCTCTCCTCGGGGGCTGCACAGGGAAGTGGGAGAGCTCTGAGCTCCCGCTGCTCCCCAGGGTTATTCCTTGGCTCATTTGCTTTATAAATCCCAGGGATCAGATGCCCAGCACAAGCTCAGCGTGAAGCTGAGGGGAGGGTGGACAGCAGGATCTCCTTGCTGTGCCCTGCTGAGCCCTGCTTGAGGCCTTTTTTCTGGGAAAACTCCAAAATCCGTGGCAGGTGGAGCCATGCAAAGGGTCCAGGGTCATCCCAAGAGCTTCCCCAAGACCCATTCTAGTGGGACAAAATCCCTGAGCATGGACTTGCTCTCAGTCTGAACAGAAGAAAAAAGGGGTTTTAGCCAAAATCCCTTTGTTTTTCTGTGCTTGGTAAGGAAGGGTTGGGTCTCTCGGGGGGTCTCGGGGCTTTCCCCCCTCCCCACCGGCTCTCTCTGTGCCCTTTGCAGCAAGGAGAACTTTGACAGCATTCCCGACCTGGAGTTCAACCCCATCCGTGGGAAAATCGTCCACGCCTTTTTTGACAAGCGGTGAGCACTCCCCGCACCCAGGGAGGGAGGATTTATCATCTGGAAATGGGGTGGGGCTGGGCAAGGACCTTCCCCCTAAAGGCTGGGGTGGAACCAGGTGGAAAATGAGACATTTCGGGTGAATCTCATGGACAAAGCAGTCCTGGAGCCTTGCCGGGGGTGGGGTATGCTGGGGGTTCCCATCACCGAGGGCTCCGGCACCCGCAGGAACCTGCGGCAGGAGTCGGATGGGCTGGCGGACGAGATCAACTTCGAGGACTTCCTGACCATCATGTCCTACTTCAGACCCATCGAGATGAACATGGACGAGGAGCAGCTCGACCGCTTCCGCAAGGAGAAGCTGAAATGTGAGGCTTCCCCAGGCGGAGCCGGGCTGCGGGCTGTGGGAAGGGGCTGCCCTGACCCTGCCCCCCCCTCCTGTCCCCCAGTCCTGTTCCACATGTACGACTCGGACCACGACGGGAAGATCACGCTGCAGGAGTACAGAAATGTAACGTGGCTCCCCCCTGCCCCGTGCCCCCGTCCCAGGCCTGGCCTGACCCTCTGCCTTGCAGGTGGTGGAGGAGCTGCTGTCAGGGAACCCCCACCTGGAGAAGGAGTCGGCTCGATCCATCGCCGACGGGGCCATGATGGAGGCAGCCAGCATCTGTGTGGGACAAATGGTGGGAGCCTGTGCTGGCAGCTGCTTCCTGCTCTGGGGGGCTCTGGTGGCATCAAAATGGGGCTGGAAGGTGTCCCTGCTTCCCAGGGCGTCTCCCTGTGCCACAGCTGCTTTGGTGGAGGTGTTTTTTGCAGGCAGCAGGTTCCAGGGTGATGTTTGCTCATGAGAGGGATCAGCAAACAGCATCCCATAAGCCCATCCTTACTGCTTATGGAAAGGGCTGCTCCTCGCAGCCGGGGGGTTTGGGGATGTATTTGGGGCTGGCCATGGGGCACAGGGCAGGAACCCATGGGAGATGTGTCCCCCAGCCCCAGGGGACACCCCTGGGCCACCCCTCCCCATCCCCCCGGGGCAGCTGCGATGTTTCCTCTCCCTGCGGCAGGGCCCGGACCAGGTGTACGAGGGCATCACCTTCGAGGACTTCCTTAAGGTCAGTGACGCCCCCGTGTCCCCAGGAGCAGGGACAGGGCTGGGGTGTGGCCCTGGCCCCCTCAGCCCCGGCCCCTGGCAGATGTGGCAGGGCATCGACATCGAGACCAAGATGCACGTCCGCTTCCTCAACGTGGACACCATCGCCCACTGCTACTGAGAGGGGCAGCAGCAGCAGCAGGAAGAGGAGGAGGAAGAGGAGGAGGAAGAGGAGGAGGAAGAGGACCCAGCAGCATCTCCGTGTCCTGGCACCCGGCTCCCAGCTCATGGCTCTGCCCCGCCCGTGTGCCTGTCCCACGCTGGAGCTGCTCTCTAGAAACATCAGAGGCTTTTATCTGTAATAAAAGATATTTCTCTTTTTAGTCCTCGCTGAGAAACACTCCATCCATCCATCCATCCATCCATCCATCCATCCATCCATCCATCCTTCCATTCATCCATCACTCTGTGGTGGAGTGTTTCCCTGGGCAGAAAGCCTCCACAAATCCTGGCTGCCCCATAAATCTGGTTTTTTAGCCTCTGCCAGGTGCTGCTGTGGGGAAGGAGCCTGATCCCAGGCCGTGGGAGAGGCAGGAACGGGGATGCAGAGGGGCAGGAGGGAAGGCAGCCCCCTCAGCCCCTGCAGGGACAGCCACGTCCCACTCTGCATCCTGCAGGGAAGGTGGTGGCAGCGACACAAGGAATATTCCCAGTTTAATCCCAAAGCAGAGGCAGGCGGGAGGAGCCCCGGCAGGCAGCAGGGACACGGGACGTGGGCTCCTGGCAACCAGGTGGCTCCTGCCCCCACATGTTCCCGCTGCACAAGGCACCGGGGCTCGTTCAGCGGCGCTAATGACTGCAAGGCTCCAGGCGGGCTTCTGTCTCTAAGGCAGCCTGAGCTGGGGAGGGAGGGAGGGAGGCAGGGAAAAAGGGCAATGGCTATTTTTAGGAAAGCAGGGGAGATTTATTTGTTTTATCAAAAAAAAACAGCTTCCCCTGGTGACAGGGCCGGCGCTGGGAGCAGCACAGCCGGCGGGCAGGGGCTGGGCAGCGATGGGTGTGGAGCCACCCCTGGGTCACCCCTGTCCCTCCATGGGTCACCCCTGGTCACCCCTCTGTCCCTGGGTCACTCCTGGGTCACCCCTGTCCCTCCATGGGTCACCCCTGGTCACCCCTCTGTCCCTGGGTCACTCCTGGGTCACCCCTGTCCCTCCCTGGGTCACCCCTGGGTCACCCCTCTGTCCCTGGCTCAGGGCAACACTTCCTCCTTCTTTTCCTCATTGTTGAGGGTCTCTGCTCTGCACCCCACACTGATGGAGCATTCAGGGTTTCTGTCCCCTCCCAAGTCCCCGAGTCGGTCCGGAGCCGCTGGAGCTGAGCCGGGAGCTGCTCCCGGGTCCCCCTGGGGATGTCCCACCTGGGGATGTCCCACCTGGGAATGCCCCACCTGGGGATGCCCCACCTGGGGATGTCCCTCCTGGGGATGTCCCGCCTGGGGATGTCCCACCTGGGAATGTCCCACCTGGGAATGCCCCATCTGGGGATGTCCCTCCTGGGGATGTCCCGCCTGGGGATGTCCCACGGAGCCGCGGGCAGCGCTGCCCGCTCCGGTGGGGCCGGACGGGCCGGGCTGGGTGGGAGGGCACGGTGGGGCTGGAGCTGCCGGCGCTCCCGGAGGAGCCATTCGGGCCCTGCAGCGCTGCTGGTGCTGCCCCACAGCCTGGGCTCTGGGATTCCCTCCTGCTCTCCTTGGGCTCCTCTGGGCACCCCCATGGCCCTGACTATTCCTCCTCCTGGATCTCTCCTCCTCTTCCTCCTCCCCGTGCCGGACCCCCAGCGCTCCCTCCCCACCCCATGCACAGGAGGGCACAACCCCACAGCTCCTCCCTAAATCCCCAAGTTCCCACGGCCGAGCCGGGCTCCTTTCCCTGTTTTCCCCGTAAATTTCCATCCAGACGCTGCGGGAGCACCCCAGTCCCCAATCCAGCTCAAGCTCCGTGCTCCCACCCAGTCCTGGCTGCCTGCAGGGTCCTGTTCTGCCCCCACATCTCCCCGCTGGCGCTGCAGGGGTTAACTCGAGCTCAGGGTCCCACTCCCCCCCCACAGCCCTATTTCCTCGGAGGAATCGTCCGAGAGGATCCCAGCAAGGCAGGGAGGTGGAGGCCAGGAGGAGTGAAGAGGATGGATGAGAGGATAATTATTATCCCTTGAGTTAATTAGCTATAACTCCCTGGAGTTAATTAGCTGACCCCGAAATTCTAAGTGGCGAGGAAAGCGAGGGAAGTTGGGAAACAGAGGCAGGACCCAACACAAAGTGGCTGCAGCGTTTTCCCTTTGCTTGTGCTGGGAATTCCCGGTGGGAAATGGGAGAGTGGGGAGCAGGAGGGAGGGAGGAGCAGGGAATGGAGCCGGATCCTCAGCCCTGCAAAGGGATGGAGAGCCCCAGGCGTGGGCAGGAGCACCGTGTTCCACACAGCAAACCGCAGCGAAACGGGGATAATCATCCTGAAAATCACAGGGAAATCTGGCAGAGCCCCGGGAAAGCTGGCAAGGACAAAGCTCCTGCCACAGCAAAATCCTGCAAAGCCCCGAGCGTCCGTAAAGGAAAATGGTTCAGCTGTGGGGCCAGGAGAGTGGACGTGGCACCGAGCTCTGTGCAGATCCCGGGGGGAAATGGAATTGGAGCTGCCTTACAACACACTGGGAAACTCCGGGGAGGCTGAAAAGGCTGAGCAGCGTCAGAGAGAGCAGCAGCTCCTGGGAGTGGAGAGGGGACAGAGTGACCCCACGGCTGGAGAGGGGACAGAGTGACCCCAGGGATGGAGAGGGAACAGAGTGACCCCAGGGCTGGAGAGGGAACAGAGTGACCCCAGGGCTGCAGGGCAGGGACCCTGGGCAGGTGGGGCTTGGCACAGAGGTTGGCACAAAGCCTGACCCATCTCCCCACCATCCCCCCTCACCCATCAGCCACGCTGGAGCTTGGGAATGGCAGGACAGACCAAACAAGGGGACACCTGGCCAGGGAGGGAGGGAAGGGCAGGAGAGCAGGAGGCAGCCAGACCCCACAGCCATGGAGCCAGGACAGCCACATGCAGCCAGTATTTCTAAGCTGAATTTTGAGGAGCTCCTCGTTCCTTTGAGTGGCACTGGCTGAGGCAGGGGTGACAGAGGAAGCTCCCACCTGCTGCTCTCCCGTGAAGAGGAATTTGGCCCAGAGGCTGGAGGTCCACGTTTCTGGATGAAAATCTGCCAGTGCAGATTTTTTCTGGCTAAAAATCTGCCAGATAAATCCTGACCTGAGCAGCCCCTTCCCCCCAGGTTTGTGCTGCACAATCCACCAGGACCCCCTCTGCTTTGGGGCCTCCAGCTCCTGCTGCCCCACCTTCCCCCTGGCAGCAGGGAAGAACCAGCTCCAGGCACCTGGAGTTCCAGGAGCATCCACAGAAGGTGGAATGGGCAGGCAAATGTCACCGGAGGAGAAGAGGGGGCATGAACAATTCCTGCACCACGTCAGAGCACCTGCATTCACCCCGCAGTGACAGCAGCTGGGACAGGAGTGACAGGGGTGGGCAGGGCAGGAAAGCAGAGCTGGGGGGAAAGGCAAAGGGGCTTCAGAGACCCCCAGAGCACCTCACAAAAGCACCTCTGCTCCTCCTCCCAGCACTCCTCAGATCAGGAGAGGGATGGCAGCCCCTGAAACCCCAGAGTGGCTCTTCCCTCCCTGACTGGGGACACCAACAGAGGCTAAAAGAATTTCTGGGCCTGTGCTGGTGGCTGGAGCCAGGAACAGAGCCAGGCACTGGGGATTTTCCAGCAGGGCTCTGCAGTGTCCTGCCCTGCAGGACGGTGTGCCAGGCTCCCCTGGGGCTGCTCCCTGTGGCACACACACACATCCCTGTGGCACACAGATCCCTGTGGCACACAGATCCCTGTGGCACACACACACGTAGATCCCTGTGGCATACAGATCCTGTGGCACACACACACACGGATCCCTGTGGCACACAGATCCCTGTGGCACACACACATGGATTCCTGTGGCACACACACATGGATTCCTGTGGCACACACACATGGATTCCTGTGGCACACACACATGGATTCCTGTGGCACACACACATGGATTCCTGTGGCACACACACATGGATTCCTGTGGCACACACACATGGATTCCTGTGGCACACACACATGGATTCCTGTGGCACACACACATGGATTCCTGTGGCACACACACATGGATTCCTGTGGCACACACACATGGATTCCTGTGGCACACACACATGGATTCCTGTGGCACACACACATGGATTCCTGTGGCACACACACATGGATTCCTGTGGCACACACACATGGATTCCTGTGGCACACACACATGGATTCCTGTGGCACACACACGCAGCTCCCTGTGGCAGACACAGATCCCTGTGGCACACACACATGGCTCCCTGTGGCACACCCAGATCCCTGTGATCCCACATTCCCTCCGAGCAGGGATCCCTCTCACCAGGACACAGGCTCCTCTTTTAACCTGAGGATCACTGCCCCCAGCAATGGACCCCAGAACCCTCAAGGCTTTTCATGCCAAACCATTTCCTGCTGTGCTGCCTTTGGGTTCTGCAGCCGTCCCTGACCCCTGTCTGAGGGCCACCAGCCTGGCAGTGGCACCAGTGTGAGCCTGAGCTCTGCCAGCTCAGCCCACTCTGCTCCAACGTGTCCTGCCTGCAGCTCCTGCACCCCAGCCCCTGAGCCCCCCAAGGCACATTTCCCTTCCCCGTGCCACCCCTGACCTGTGGGACAAAGCACTGGGCCCCTCCCTGCCACTGACTGCCACCAGTGGGCTGGAAGCTCCAAGGTGCCTTCTGTCCCCAGCCCAGCTGGGATGGTGACTCTGTTCCTGCTCTGGAAATGAAGGCAGGGGCTCCATTTCAATGCCCCCTTGGTGCCTCAGGTTTAGCTTTTATATTTTCAGATTCTGTGCTGCTTTAGTGTGTAGGTCTGGGCTTCATATTAGGGATGGTGAGCTCTGTGCACAGAGCAGGGAGACAAAGCAATTCCTGCTCCAGCTGGGCACCAAGGACAAATGATCCAAATCTCAGACCCAAGAGCACAAACCATGCGGGCTGAAGAGAGAAAAACAAGAAGGATGGGACTGCACGGGGAGCTGTGATTGGACAATAAACCCCAATGTGCAAATGGAGCAGAACTGATCAAAGTGAGAGACCCTGTGACCTGTTGTCCATTTTGGGAGCATTTTCGTTACTCTTGCGGGCAGCCCTGGCTGGACTCTTGTGCTGCCCAAGGTGGATCCATTGAGATCCTTTTAACAAATCCCTCCTCTATCCTTTAGCTCTGTCCAGCCTCTGTTCCAGGTCAGCCTGCACAG